TGAATTCCCTGTATGAAGGTGATGGCAAGCCGTACGATAGTAGACAGTGGTCGTGAGCGTCATATGGAACCATATCTCAGAGCACAATCTGTTGTACAAACAGTAGAACAAAAAAAAAAAAATTTATAATTTCTATCTCCGATTCCAAATACACTTAATAAAATTGGAAACACCAAGTAATGCTGTTTAGCGTATGATACGCCACTAGGTAAATACTCTCGGTAAATCGCGGTACAGTTTATTAATTATAAAGATTATAATAACTTATTAGAATACCTACGCATCATTATTTTAAACAAATTCTATTGCTTTACGCATGTTTATATATTATATATTATAGTTTAATTGTTAATTTATGATCTTGATGGATCGGGCCAGGTGATGAGGTGTTAATTGAAAATCAGCGTTTCTGCTTCTGCGGGAACTTTAAGCTGAATTGGTATCCTTATTCATTTCCATAACACTGACTGTTTTCAACTACACTTTATATATAAATGTAAACTTTTTTTCTATATTTTTTTAATGTTCTTATTACTTGCAATCTAAGTATATGTAAGTGTGTGTGTGGATTGTTTTATGGGTGAAGATGGAATGGTAACTCCGCCTACACTATCGGTATACGTTAACGTGTCACCAGTGAAGAGTGACAGGTGAGAATGATGAGGTCAGTTGGCCCATAGTGACCACATGAACAAGTAATAACCACTATGGTTTCCAGGGGGAACCGCGTGGAGGTCGACCTGATAGGGTATATTCTTAGCAATGAGATTGTTAAATCTTATTACTAACAATCTCTTTCCCCCCAAGTGTTGTGGATTATTGAAATAAATTTTCATTCATTCATTCAAACAATATAAATTAATAACCTAAACAAGTTTAATTAATATTATTAGAAGTTAACTCCTTCCTGAATGTATAGGTATCACTCGTAGTACAATTGTGAAATACATTTTGAAAATAAGTAATAATATAGAGAGAGAGATACTCGCTGGATATTGATATCAAAAAGATATATATCTTCATTAGAGACATCTATCATTTTACCGCTAGAGGCCAATCTGTCCGTATAATATACGGTGATTTGATCGATTCGATATGATGATACCAGTCGAGTGATGCTGACATATCTATGAATGCAGGAGATAAACTATATATCTACAAATTATTTAACATAATGTTAATATTAATATTTACATACATATGTATGTGTAAGAAAGAGTACAGGACGCGAGTGAAATCGCGGGCGGCGTAAATAAACACTACTAAATCCTATTGATTACTTGTGTTCCGCATACTTCAGTTGTCATAATTTTTGTAGATAATTTATATCTATATATCTATCTAGCTATAGATACAATACGCTGCTTATTTTTATCGTAATGCGACCAGTGGGTGTGTCGTGGTCGCGGCACCTGATGACATCAGCTCGATCCTACCTGGTCGACATAAAGCTCTGTTTCCATTAATTTAGATTAGACATAATTTTCCAGAGAAACAACAACATTAAAGAATTTTAACCCATTTTTTTTAAAACCATAAAAACCCGTCGAAGTACTTCGATAGCTCCATATCTGTTATGGCTTATATCATGTCAAATGGATCTATTCCTGATACCTATGTTGAAGTCAATTTCGAGCAAATTTTAGTCAGACTAATTTAGAAAAGTAAAACATACCTACCTGTTCGTGATATAAATATTATAACTATGGAACAGAAATGCTCTTCTAACAGTTTAGTATCCTTTTTTAAAGGGATCGGAAGTTAAACGCGCTGACGCTATTTACAAATTTAATCTCTTTTCATTTAAGAGTTTCCTCTTGTCAGTGCAACTAGTTCATGCATCTTCTTCCAGCCAGTTCTATCCCAGGCCATATCCTTGACTTCCCTATACGACAAATTTAATACATTACATAAATAATAATAGTCAGTAGTTAACACCTTCATTTCAGTTTTTTTTTTATTGAGTGATAATGGAATGGTATCCCCGCCTGCACTATCGGTATACACTGGCGGGGCACCAGTGAAGACTGATAAGTAAAAATAAAGCAAGTCAATTAGCCCATTGTAAAAACTTCACTAATGAATCGAACGCAATGGTTTCCAGGGGGAACCGCAAAGACGTCGACCTGGTAGGGTATATTGCTAGTAATAGAATTGCTAATCCCCATTACTAACAATCCCTTTTCTCCCCACGAGTAAGGTGTTATGCCTGTATACTCTGTAAATTCACTCCTATATCCCACCCTTCAAACCGAAACACAGCCATGCAAACATAACCGCTTCACGGTTAAAACATGAATGCGACAGAGGTAGCCAACCAAACGAATTTTGAACAAAGTCTCTCTCTGGTAAACATAATAAGTAAATAAACAGCTTATCCAAACAATTGTATAACTTCATGCTTCTGCAGGTAGGTATTTCGGAAAACAGATTTTGGAACCCGAGTCACACAACAAAAAGTATATAGATTATATTATTAGTATATTATACTAGATCATTCACCAAATCTATTTATCCAGAGGGCAAAAATTTTGTTAGTAAAGGGCCAACGGAAGAGACTAACGGCTCTCCACTAACAACATACACTAACAGGTTAACCTCAGCGCAGACACCCTGAAAGTTATGCGCAATTGCTGGTGAATTAATTGCAAGGGACCAACGATCCTGACTTCATCTTCACTGATGGGCTGGGCTGATCACATTCATAAACTATGTAATAAAGTAAATTCATTCGCGTATGCTCTCTGGCGACTAAGAAGGATTAGCAATAAAGAAACAGCTTTACAGGCATACCATGGTTATGTCAGCTCTATTTTGAGATATGCTATACTTCTGTGGGGTAACTCGTATTATGCAAGCCGTGCCCTTATATCACAGAAACAATGCATCAGGGCGATCTGTAACGTTGACTCACGTACATCTTGTCGATCATTATTCAAGGAGCTAAATGTACTTACTGTTCCATGTAAATATATATATATGAGGTATGCATATTCGCAAGAACACATTTACATTTATTTAAAAAGAAAAGTGATCTCTGTAATTTTAACACAAGAAATCCTCAAAACTTAGTACTACCTTATAAAACTACAACTTTGTATAGCAGAAATGCCTACTGTATGACAATAAGCATTTATAATAAATTAACGGACGAAATAAAAACACTACCCTTGAATATATTTAAAAAGAAACTGAAAAGATGGCTGATAGAAAAATGCTTCTACTCGGTTAATGAATATTTTGAATATTTTAAAGCTTAAATATGTGACTCAATTAATGTAATTTGTAATTTGTCAAATGATTGTAATTTGTAATCTGTATAATTTATTATTAATACTGACATATATTTAATATGACGATTTCAGTAAAATAGTATTAGCATAGTATAGTGGAACAATTAAATAAATTTTGTACGCAAGATTCTGGTGAAAAATGTGATCAATATTTAAATATTATATTCCATCTTTTATACCATTTTTCAAACAAAATAAAGTTATTTGTATTTGTATTTGTATTTGATACTCCACCAGCATAAACGTGCAGGGGGTTAATAGTTTATTAAAAATAAAGATTAGTAGTCCCATTGTCAGCAATACACCCTGTCAGGTCAACTTCCTCGCGGATCCCCCTGGAAACTATCGTGTTCTAATCCAAGCGAATTCATCACGATAGGCAAATGCACAACCATTCTTTGGAATCAACTTCCAGCAGCAGTATTTTCGAACCGATACGACAACATAACCTTCAAGAAAAGAGTATATTCCTTTTTAAAAGGCCGACAACACACCTGCAATGCCGCTGGTGTTGTGGGCGATCATGGGCGGCGGTAGTCACTTACCATCGGGTGAGCCGCATGCTCGTTTGCCCCCTGTTTTGTAAAAAAAAAAAACTGACATGCCTTTTCTTGCCACCTATCATCCCTCACTGCTGTTCCGCCAGCGTATACCATTAGCGCAGGTGGGGTTACCATTCCATTATCATTCATTAAAAAAAACGTGCAAGCGAGGTTATTGTTCCATTTTCATGTGTTTAAACGTAAACAAGCTTTCATATGTATACTCGTAATATGTGTTATGTACATATTAATGTACTTAATTTCGTGTGCAACGAAACAGTTGTGTGAAATGTCGCGCTATCGCCGCCAAAAATATTTGTTTGTTGTTCGCTGCGCTGCCGTTTGCTCGCATGTAGGGCTGCGCCTGCGCCGGTCGTTGCACAGTGACCGCGGCGACCGCCACGACTATTCATAGCCCGACGTATAAACTCATGCACCGATTTACTACAGTACAAAATTACAATGCATTAATTAAATTTTTGCCTGCAGCGTGATGCAGCATGATTAGCCGTCGACTCCGAGAATCAGATAGGTGTTGCAAATTTAATTAATGATTTACGATAGTTACGGTAAAAAAGATTGACGTGCATACGTGAACAAAAAATACTTACATGAATAACTTATTTATATTTGATTTCAGATATACATAACAAAATTGTCCTAATGTAATAGTTGATTAAAATTTGGATTTTTTTTTTTTATTTTATTAAAGTTAACAAACAGTAATACAATATATAATTATAATAAGATTACATTTAAATGTGACTAATAGTACTACCAACAACGTTCACTACAGATACACTATATAAAGAGAGAAAGTATATAAACATGCAAATATTGACGAGACGTGGAGCTGACCATTATATCTATTTAGAAAAACAAATCAAACATTTGCTAAGGGTACTCGTAGTTACTCCGTACAGATGGCAGCAAGCCATTGCTGTTGCCATAGGTAACGGTAGAACCTTTCACTGCCACCTTCGTACGACTTGCTGCAGTATTATATATAATTCGGGAAGCAGCCAAGTCGAACAGTGCGCTATGGTGTAACTGCATCGTCTGCAATGATGATGGTGCTCTACTCTTGTAATTGTGGGTGAGAAGGAGTGGAGTGGAGGGGGGGGGGGGGCAGCCGCTGTAGGACGCCGCCGGCGTCGCCGGTGCGTGGTCGCGGTGCGTAGCGAGCCGCGCACAGTCCGGCCGCGACGCTTGGCTTCTCCGAGCGCGCTTCACGCTTGCCTTCGCCCTCGTACCAGCCGCCAGCTCAGAGCTCAGAGCTCGTCACCGGTCTCCCGCGCTGCGTACACCGTGACATGGCACTAGACGGTCAGTACCGACTCCCTGCTACCGCCGCTATCTCTACCGCTATACTGGCATCTCTCACTGAATAAGAATGTTGTGTTACAAAAAATAAATCCATCTTAAGAGTACGTTATATTCGGATATGTCACTGAAATGCAACCGCAACAGGTACCCGTCGTCCGGTGGTCTGGATCCAAATGGAATACCTTGTTATTGTGAACAATCTGAAGTGTGAACCGAATGTAATCAAGTTGATGTCCTACCGCTGATCCCTCGATATGTTTACTAATGATGAATGCTTTATAAATGAATGTGACAAACTGTAGTAGCAAACACCCCGCGTCGTATGGTCACACGTGTCATCTGGCCACCATATTATGAAATAAAATTAGTTTTTTTTTATATTTTTATAGAAAACATAACTGTAGTATAAGTTACAAGTTTAAATATCTATCATAAATTGTTAAAAATATTAAACTGAGTCAAACAGTAGTTGTTCTGTTTCCTCATACATCTTTTTCAGAAGGAACATACGAGGAAGATTAGTTTTTCAAACTAAGTGTCGTAAATGTATATAAAAACCAACATTTATTACAAAATAACTAATAATTGCAACTATAATATACCTAATGTGTCACGCAGTTTTGCCCGCGCAAATAATGATATAAAATATCCTATATCCTAAGTGGCGACCCCGTACGGGAAAACGCAATGTAGGATAGCCCACCACCAGATGGAATGACGACCTCAGGGGCATGGCAGGGAATCAATAGATGCAGGTGGCTCAGGACCGTTCTTTATGGCAGTTTATAAGAGAGGCCTATGTTCAGCAGTAAAAAGATGATGGCTGAGATGATGTTGTTCTAAATAAGAATATAATATAATGTAAAATTTTATTTAAATCCCTTTCGTAGTTTTAGCATGAAAGACTACATTTTCACTATCCAAACATCGTCAAAAACTGTCGCATTTATACCAGTAGGACAACATACTTGTAATGTAGTCGTCTTTGCTTACTTGTATTGTTTATTCGTGACAAAATAAACAAAAATAAAATAGTGGAAAAATAAAATAAAACATAAATAGTGGATTCCAATTCAGTATAGGTACATATGTATTGATTCACTCACAAATAATTCAAGAAATTGTATTTTTCAACCTTCACAATTTCAACAGGTCAAATGTCAACAGTAATAATATGCGGTGCGTGCGTTGTGTTGCAACGATTGTAGTAAAATAGTAAGGATTATATTTATATGTACTTATTATATAGTTTATAACTGCTTACTCCGTTTACGCCTAATAGATACGCGTGAAGATGTTGCCTTACATTAGTAAGTGCCTATTGAAAGTTTACAAAATGTATGTGTGCGCCGGCGCCCAGTTGATGAATGAATATTTTAAAACCGACTTAAAAAAGGGATCCAATAACATATTAGGCTGACGGAATAGTCAACTTTCTTTAATAAGATACTCATGTCGGAGTAAAGCACTTTGCATATGACAAGTCTCAAAAGCCATTAAAAAATGAAATCATCATTTGACCGATTTTGTTTTCCCACTGGTTATTTGATTAGAATTCATAATTAATAAATAATTTCTTTCCACATTTTATTTATGCGAGTTGAACTCGCACGCCGGGGGTTCAATATGTAAAATAATATGTAAATAGGATGTTGTTTTCTATAGATAAACATTCATTTGAACGTAAAGTGATGAGATAAAGTAGCTTTGTACACAAATATGTTTACTGTATTTATGATACGTAATTAAAGATTGTGTTTCACAGAAAAAAACCGAATTCAATTGTCACAAAACCAGTTATTTTGATTTAAAAACTAAACTACTGAACTGACTGTTTTTATAAAATTTCTCTGAAACTAGTCTGCAAGTATATCCTTCCAGATAAATAAAATAATATTCCAAATCGGTTCGGCGCTGACGGAGTTATGAGGTAACAAAGACAACAAAATACAAACGAATTGAGAACCTCCTGCATTTTGAAGTCGATTGAAAATAGACGTCTAGTGATAGTTATTTGAATTAAAAACCCCTTATCTTGAACCAACAATTTTGGTTTAAAATCGGATTGGGTTTATTTTTTTTTATAAATGTTTATTTAATATTTTATAAAAAAAAAACTGAATTAGTTAGAAACATCGCTTTATTTTTCCTACAATATTCATATTAAATTTAATATATATTAATGTGTAATTATTATATATAAATAGGGAGGGATCGAAAACTAAATAAAATCCAGTCTTAAAATGTACAAGTTAAATATTAATTTGAAATCATTAGAACATCTCCTGGACCCTATAGTACTTTAGTAATTTCAATATGTACATATGTGCCAACCCACACCTAAAACTATTCCAAATTTCAAATCCAATCAATTTCATAGCATAGTTGCCGAGATATAACGTTGAAACAAAGGGATTAAAAGGGCACACAAAGTCGCATGGTAAAAGTTCCTTTCTACTATATTGATACCTAAAAATTATCTTACTTCTAATTTCCTGTTATCTGACTCAAATCCTACTATAATGGCTAGATACATAGAACTCAGAATGACAAACAAATTACTTAGCGGATGGAAAGTAGGAACCATCGCATATGCTCGTATATTAGACATGAACGGCGCCAAAAACGTCAACAAGCACAGCCGCCTCGCAGAGAAACCAGTAGGAGAGAGGTGTGATTTTTTGCAGTCTTCACTCCGGTCAATATGACCAGCACCCGATCCAATCTGATCTAGAGAAGGAAAAGTGAAGGGCGGGAAAGTTGAGACTGAGGGCGGGTGACGGCTCAAATAAATGTGTGCATAACCCATGCACGCGCTTATAGGTATTAAGTAAGAGGTTTTTTTTCAAATAAGAATGCAAGAAGTTATTACCGAGGACGGCAAAAATATCTCCTAGTCACAGAATATTTCATGTTGAATCTACCTATGTATGTCCATCCTATTTTTTATAATACATTTAATAAAATACAAAAATTGTCTAATCTGCAGTGTAATCTTCTTCTATTATACCTATTTAGGATTTCCACTTGAAAAACCCAGACAAATTAAAATTTTTGTATAGGTACTAAGCTTAACGTTAGCATTCGGTTCTCACAAGCGGCGACAAAAACGCTAGGATCGCTTTTTATAATGTACATTTGTTCTTTTGGACGAATGTATATTACTTACAAAAAGATATAGTCATATTCAATAATAGCATTAAACATGTTATTCGTAAGCAAATAATAGGTACTTGCGTCAATAATGCAAACAGAACTTCAAGTGTGCCCACAATCGACGTGGCAGTGCCGGCTGCCTACTAGCGAAACGTAACATGTAACATAGAAACTGTGTTATTGCTAATCCTGGTTATCCACATAGGTGTAGCCAAGTACGAGCTTCACTATCCTAATAAGCAGGGTACGAGAAAGATTTACATAATTTGTATCCCCAGTTTAGATGACTTAATTAAATGAAAGCTCACTACGCAATTCGAATACCGACTTCTGCGTGATATGTTTAACATAACGTCTTCGTTCGGAGCGAGTAGATCGTTAATAATCATTTTGCGATCCCTTTGCTGGTAACTCGTCTACCACGCGAGCCCCCTGAAACCATCGAGATTAATTCCTAATGTATTCGTCACGGTGATCTCTTTCTTTTTTTATACAACTTAGAATGGCAAACAAGCTATCGATCCACCCGATGGAAAGTGGTATCTGTCGCCTATAGACATAAGCAATACCATGGACATAACAGAGTATACTGTTTCGCCCATGATACCTCCCCATGCGTTGCCATTCCTGAGGACTCAGGTGTTATTCCTCTGTACCTTGTAAATTCACTGCCATGCCCCACCCTTTAAATCGAAACACAGCCATGCAAACACAACTGCTTCACGGTTAAAACACGAATGAGACAGAGGTACCCAAGCAAACGACTGATTGGTGAACAACCCAAACGCTATTAACTCGTTTTTTATAGATATGCCTATTATCACTATAGTTCGTTTCAACGGAACACGATGAAAATATAAATAAATCAATAACTGACCCGACCAAAACACCGTCTGTACGTGTTACCAATAATAATATAAATTTCTGTAATAATCAACAAAACCAATCGAATAACACATGGCTGTACTCGTATTATATTATCTGTGCCCAAACTAAATACAGTAGCTACCCATAATTTGCGAGTACGAGAACAACTTCGATCGACATAAAAGTTATTAGATCTATTTTTTTTTTATATTGTTGATCCCAAATTTTATTAGACGTGATCGAAGGCAAATGAAACCGGACGTGCTATATCTACTATTTATCTGAAGTTGATATGTGTGTTGAACCTATCTCTATTTGCGTTGGATATAATTATCTGTATGAAGTGTATAATAAACAACAATTCACGCAGCGTCGATAAAAAAAATACGATATTTTATGATCACACTTAGCTACCTAGTTAGTTGTATTATTATCTTTATGAGTTTATTTATAAGATTCCAATTGATGTTTATACGGGTTTTTTTTTTTTTTGTTAAAATAAGTTACAGGTTCCTTGTACTACGATGCAGCACAGAGTAAATAACAGCAGAGTTACAACAGTATCTAGGTAGATTCACTAAAATTAGGTACTTAAATTACGTGCTTACCTTAATGTTCCAAAACTAGTCTATCTAGCTACCTATATAATATGTATAATTAAATATAATATATATAATTGCACAAATTGAATTTATATCTATAATTTGCATTTGCTACTTGTTTGTAATTATTTGACATTAACTAGATGTTAATGTCAAATAACATTAAACTAATTGTAATAAACTAAATTGTAACAATTAATTATTTTAAATTATAATATGTATAAATATTAATGTGACATAGTATGTACGGTACTGTATATTTACACAGAGGACATACACATATATATTGTGTATGTAATGGTAAAACAATTATTGGTAGTCGTATTGAAAAAAAAAACTTAAATTATAATTTGCATGCTTAATATGTAGCCGAATATAGAACTGTTTATGTATTGTATCTTACATTATATAGATGGAGCATCGAGCTTCAAAATCGGGACAACTTTTTGTCAGCTGATTGTCAAATTAAATACGTAATTTGACGTATCTATAATTAATTATTTAAAAATAAAAAGGTACAATATTGATGAGATATAGATATTAGAGCTTTAAAGGAATCACTCATAACTTTTTATCACGCAATACTGTATGAAAAAGTTACCCGCCTTCTCGAAGAGATATTTAGTGTATACCTATATATATACATACATCTTATAGTTTGTCATTAACCAAATAGGAATTATTTTACTTTTTGTCATACATTAACATTATAATAGATTTTGGTTACTTCCTTAAAATAAATATTAAAATATTGCCCAGAGTCCCAAATCCTTTAGTCCGTTATGTCCGAGTACCTACACATTTAGAAAATAGAGGTTTACATGTTGTTCATAAAGCAAATATCATGAAACTTGGTTCCAGCCACTATTGGCATACCCTTTTAAAGCTTAATTTACATTAGTACTAGAGTCATATACACGAGTCAAAGCTTTCACTTAAAAACAATCTAGATACGATTGAATGAACGCCAGTTTATTTCATCTTCTAACCAAATATATTTCGGTGGTGCTTTCACGGGTATTTAGTTGCTAGACTGAAGTGGGTGTCGGCGCTTACAAAATACGACTGTAAGACGAATACTCGACCGCCCCTACGTCCTCTGCCGCAGCCGCCGCTTGCTGTTTTCAACAAAAAGTATATAAACTCCGTTTCAGTTTTCAATATTATTGTGTACAGGCGCGCAGGTCCTTGTTTTTAGGCGCAGGCGGACACTTGTAAGTAGATAGGTAGCCAAAGTGAGCTAACTCACATAGGTAACAGGTAAGTTCATACATCGTAGGTAATGTCATAGTAAATAAATAATATACGGTAACTAACTGAGCTTACAAACATCCTCCTGTCCAGACAATGCAATCCTCATACTCTGAGGTAGACACTGTTACAGTCCATTTACCGTGCTAGGTACCAATGTGCTTCGCTGACATTGCATTGTGAACAACTGCTCGTAAGCATGCCTACTCACGGTTAGAGTGTACCTATAAGTAATGATTTTTCCATCTTCCTCGGGCGACCTTAATATTTATTTTTCCCCTAAAAACGATAATCGAATTATTATGTACATTTAAATAATAATTTAGGCAAATCAATTCCGCTATCAATTATTATGCCAATTAACGAATGAAAATAAATCTGCGTCAAAAATTAATTTCTATATTTTTGTCTCTTTTTCGACCGACGATTTACATAATTGTGTTTTTGACGCAACTTACAATGTCAAGTAAGTTGACAGCCCACATGAATACGTGATAAATCTAGCCTGTGCTCATGAACAGTACCATGGACTTCACAGCACGCACTGTGAGGAAACCAGCCGGAAGACCACATCGCTCGTACCGCCACAAATCACTTCGTTTGTTGTTTGTCGGTAAGGTAGTGTAGGTAGGTAGTGTAGTCTGCTATAGTTGTGTGCACATTCCACTACGTGTTGCATATTGAACGTCATTATATAGTAAACGTATATGTATACTCATTAGCACAGGGATTACAATTATTATTCATTTATTCGCTGCACACGGTAGGTAGTAGTTAGTTGCCATATAGAGTGGCTCGTGGCTCGTGGCTCGTAGCTCACAGTCACTGTCCATATACTGTACAGGCATATGTTATATAATTAATTACATGTTTATGGTCACAGGCGATGCTTACCCCCTATTCATATTGAAGTTAGGTTATGTACGTAGTTATGGTAACCGTAAATTTTTGGTAGTTTTATCTGTTTCTCTATTGCCGTTTGGCGCGCCTGGGAGACATTCCATTAAAGAAAATTCACACATAATTTTTCTACTCTATTTTAATGAAAAAGAAAAATAGTGCATAGAAGACAGGAATATCAAAGCTTACAGCGTACCGGGATATGACACTTCGTCCTGAGAAAGGGCAGTGACGTATGTGCAGCACAGTATATTTTGTCAGGTTTATGGTGCTGTTTATGTTTCTTCTATAGGCGAGGTTACATACCCTATTCATTAGGTAAATCGTCAGCCTGTTTGCCATTTTCTACCTTGGATAAATGTGTATGATAAATGAAATGTGAATACTTAAATAGTTCATGCACGTAATATTTCAGATGTAGAGGGCGGGCAGGGCCCGGCGGCGTGGCTGCGCCGGTGGTGGCGCGCGCTGCTGGCCGAGGTGGTGGCGACGCTGCTGCTCGTGCTGCTCGGGGTCGCGTCGCTCATCAAGCTGAAGCCCGAGCAGGACGTGCCGCTCACCAACCCGGCGCTGGCGTTCGGCTTCGTGGTGTTGATGAACATCCAGGCGTTCGGCGCCACGTCCGGCGCGCACATGAACCCGGCGGTGACGCTGGCCGCGGTGCTGTACGGCGACATGGCGCTGGCGACGGCCGCCGGCTACGTGGCGGCGCAGCTGGCGGGCGCGCTGCTGGGCTTCGGCGCGCTGTACGCGCTGCTGCCGGCGGCGGCGCTGCGCGGCCACGCGGGCTGCACGTGGCCGGCCGCCGTGACGCCGCTGGCCGCCGCCGCCGTGGAGGCCGCGCTCACGGGGCTGCTGGCGCTGCTGTGCTGCGGCCTGTGGCGGCAGCACGACCCCGCGCGCCCCGACCACACCGCGCCCATCAAGTTCGGCCTCGGCGTCGCCGGCCTCGTCTACGCGGGGGTAACGCATTTCATCTTCATCGTATCGATCGATTCAATGTTATTCTATCCGGGAGACAGGCTAGCGACATATCGAGTCGGCTCTTTCTGTTTTTTTTTTTTTTTGCAATTACTTTTTGATACATGTTATTAAAGAATCGAGTCGAGTTTGTACTTAGATTGTACTTAGTTATAGTAACAAGAACTTAATTACTTGGTTACTTGTGCTTGTATTCGAGTACCCGAGTAATTTTTCAATAGACTTTTTATTTTTAAGAAACTTTTAATTAACATAATTAATGTTCAGATATTTAATAATTAAGAACTCCCCAGTAATACAAGTACTCGATTCCTGTATTCGGGTATCGTGTGTTCAATGTCCGTATATTGAATACTAGAATACCTGAGTAGATACCTAGTACCAGTAGGTATTCCAGTCAGTACTTAGTAAGCCTGACTCTAACATTGTTTTTAGTAATATTTGAAATAAAAGGCATTTCCACGCTAAACTTCAGTTATAGATTAAAGAGCGTTTCTAAATACCCCCAATATAACATAATAAAAAAAAAGTATAAATTGCTAGTCGACTTAGAATAAAAACTCAATAATCGACAGATAAAAAAAAGTCTATTTTTACACATCAGTAAAGATAAAGTGGAATTGCTACTGTCATTAAACCAACTTATCATCATGTACTTCATTAATTTTATTTTTCCGTTTATTGGAGCATAATTTTTACAATTTTATTACAGGGCGAATTGTCCGGCGCTAGCCTCAATCCGGCTAGAAGCTTGGCTCCAGCGATCTTCCACAACTTCTGGCAGGATCATTGGGTTAGTACTCGTTTCATTGCCTATGCAATATTTTACAATCACATGAGCTGGTCAATAGGCTATGAACAGCTATTGCATCGTGACATATACGTGTGCGGCCAGTTTGTAACCATCTAACAATACCTACCTACATATTTTTGTTTTCTAATAACTAGATGTGCCCGCGATTGTATTAACTCTGTACCATATTTTTTTAAGTAATCAAAAATATATTATAAAAATCTCGTATTATGGTATTTGTGGTCACATTCCTCCGAAGCGGCTCGATCGATTTTCATTATTTTTTTATGTATATTTAGGAAGTATGAGAATAGGTTGTAAAGTATATTTCTTAAAAAAAGCAATTTAATAAATTAATTGTTATTTAATAAAGTTATTTAGTAATTATATTTCATGTAATTGCAATGATTAACAATATCATGTATTTCAAAAACGTCACCTACGTCAGTACCAGCTTTTACAGCCATTCATCAATAAACGAAAATGTGATTAACTACTAAAAACAGTACCTAAGTGTAAAACGGAGAATATTTTATAACATTTTACGAACATATAATTAAACTTCGCAAAAAACCTGACGGCTCACATAAAAACTGTTATTTATATATATTTATAAATATAATATATATCTATATATAAAAATTAATGCCACTTTTCGTTGTAATTTTATAACTCAAGAACGAGATCACCTATCCAAACCAAATGTTTAGGCTTTGTTCGGACTATTTAGTAGATGGTTTATGTGAAGTTTGCATAAAATCGGTCGAGAGATTCTTCATTTATCACATTTTTTGTAACAAATGAGTTCAATAAATGGCGGATCATTTTGTTAACGGGGGTTTTTGTGTCAAATTCAAACTTTTTTTAAGATGGGGATTGTGCTGTCAAATTGAAACTTTTTTCAGTGTTGACAGTACAAGCATGTTGTTTATGTCATTCATTTTGGACGTGCTTCGATTAAAGCAAATTGTCAGCGATAATTATTGCTTTGTGTTTATATTTTTAAATATATTGTTCAAATCGGCTATTCCATTCAATAGATCTTACGAATTTAATAATTCATATAAATAGAAAAAATAACGCTGTCGCGTTGTACATGTTATTTGTGCGGTGTTAGCGATGCGAAAGAGGGGCAGGTGGGGGCGGGCACATCTATAAAATAAGTAGCTAGGTAGGTACAGATAAAAATGTAAAATATTGTAAAAATATCCACCCGTGCGAAGCCGGGTCGGGCCGCTAGTACGATATACGAGTAATATGTAAGTACTAAACGCTATGGTACACAGTGCGCCTCTCACTACCACCCTCACAGGTTGTTGCTCCTCAATGGTAAACTTGAGACTCGAGTCAAAGTCGCGGCGACCATTCTCGAGATCGAAACAACAGCCGTCTCATTTTTTTTTAATGGGTGATACTGGAATGGTGAAAAAATAGAACTTTGGCCGGGCACCAATGAGGAATGATATGTGACGATGAAAGCAGGTCAGTTAGCCCTTCGTGACGAATTCCACTAGAATGAACCATGATGTTTGACAGGGGAATCGTTTGGAGGTCGAACTGATAGGGTGTATTGCTATTTATACTATTTACTAACAATCCCATTCCTCCGACCTCATTATTATCTCATGGCAAAAATAGATAAAGAGGCAGTGCTGGCCCAAGCCTGGGCCTGGGCTGTGTCAGTTTATACAACAGCCCAAGAGCTGTCGCACAAACTGGGGATATATAGGATAGATAGATATATAGATACTCTTTGTTTCCTTCAAAAGATTACAGTAGTAAACTTAGTATAAATAAATCTTCACACTGAGAAAACAATGGGCAGTACTATGTGTTGTAGAGTGCAAGGGGAAGCGATGACAGTGTCTGATCGGTTGCAGGTGTACTGGCTGGGCCCGCTGGGTGGCGCAGCGCTGGGCACGCTGCTGCATCGCTACGTCATCGCGCCCCCCGTCGCCGCCACTCGCGCCGACGGCAACGGCGTCCCCGAACGACTGCCGCTGCAGGACAAAACCGCCGTCTAATCATGGTCCAACTGCCATGGCCCCGACCCGCTCTCTTTCCCTCTCCCATGTCCACCCCTAGCCCAGGGCTAAGGCTGCTAGGACAGGGCATTTCCAATCAAAATCGCCAACGCCATCGATAAAACTCATCGAAATTGCTTTAACGTTTAAAATCCCGATCGACGAACGAGATAGCAACAGTCTCGTCTGCGGCAACACAACATTGAGTAGTATGGAGTAGCAGGTCAAAGAATACTTTGTAGTACCGACATTATTATTTTGGAACATTCGTAATCTCGCAAGAAAAATGTTTTTGAACCAACGCTCTCGATTAATTCGTTTAACACTCATTTAGAGGACACACAGGGCAGGCAAATCGTCAACATGGTTCGAAAACCATTGACAACAATGAACCAACCAAACATCAGATTTTCTTTCTTCACCGACTTCAATCGTGGCCAGACCCTTTATTTTGATTTAAAAACAAAGTACTGACCGATTTTGATAAAATTTCTAAGGAACCGCTTTGAAAGCATATTATTTGAGATAAAAGTTTTTTTTTTCGTTTTACAAATGATAAAGTTATGAAGTACAACCGAACTCTGAAGATCACGCAGGGACGAGAGGACACGAAGCGAATTGTTTGTTCCATACTCCCAATTGAAGAATTACGAATTGCTGGTCAATCGATGAGCACCAAATTCCTCATTTGTAATTGGCAAATGGGCATTTTTTAAAGCCGCGGTATACCTACAGACAACTCGTACGTGGATCAGGATCTACGCGTAGTCATTAAGATCTCATACCAGACTTGTTTAAAAGTCACCATCACTGTAAGACAAGATCTTTTTATATTTTTAATATTGTTTAGTTATTGTTAATTAAATAATACTTTACGATGAAACGACATTATCATTGTTTAGATAATTAGATTGTGCATGTATCCCGGCAAATACAGTGACTACAAACAGCGGCTTGACTGGCATGATTATATTGAATCGTCTCGATGGAATGGAATATCTTAATATGTATTGTATGTATATATGAACCCTGGGTCATGATGTTTGTTCACGCTAATCTCCGTAACCGCTCGAGCGGTTTTCATACAACTTTGTAAATATGTATGGTTTGATTCAACTTGAGAGATACGGTTTGATCTTCACAGTATGAACTCGGATAGAACGACTGCATCCGCAACTCGTTAATTCGAATTATGAAATTCAGTATGTGGTTAAAAAGAATTTCGCAAATATAGGTACTTATGAAGATAGAAACTTAGTGGTTTCACATTCCGTGTATGCAGTCACGGAAAAATATCATTTACAAATCGAATCAATATTTAGTTATGAATATATAATTAGTTGTGGTATCATAACGTACAAAATAATTACTACACGTAACGTTACACTGATATTAAAAAGTTAAATATTTTTTAATATCAGTGTAACGTTACGTTGATATTTTGTAATAGAAAATGCCATTAAGGATGCCAAGTACACTTGAAAATATTTTGTCAGTCGCCAAAGAACTTAATAAATATGATAAACTGTAATTACTTACATACTCGAAATTAATTGTTAATTTAATTTAATGTTTAACAATTTACAGGGTATCTATTTTATTCTCTGTTTATATTACTACTCAATTACTCAAGTGTGAATAAAGTGATGTAACAGAATATAAGCTAAGACTGAAATGCTTAAATGTAAGGACGTAACTAGAAGGTACGTTAGTACGTCGACACCGACTGCGCCTGTTGAACATTGAACCCCGAACCCAATAGCATCTGTGTCGGTCTTTTTTTTTTTGTTAAAGTAGCACTTTTAGAGTTTTCTCAGAGTTAGGACATAAGTATGATGTAAAACGTGCGTGTAAGGTGACCCCATTACACGAACAGACAATCTCAAATATGGTGTGAACAATAATATAGATAGATCAGGATATCAGGACAGACCCTGTCAATAAAGTATCTGAAATTATGATGTACAATTGTTGTGTTATATACTTAAGTTACACTAAGAGACAAACGAGTCTATCGACAGATACGACATACATGATAGTACAAGACACTAACGTCGTCTTGGTCATCCTCATGCGTGAAGTTGCGAACGCGCATCTATCGACAGATTAGTATGCGACAGGTTCTGCTTGCTGACATGCTGAACTGCGTGAGAAAGCGGCCATATAGCGGAAAATACATCGTCGCGACTAGTCTGTCTGTCAGAATGCGTGTTCTATATTCTTTTACCACAATTTAATTTGGTGTTGTTAATGTTATATTATTTAAAGTTTATAGTAAACATTTTGTAGTTTTTTTTTTTTATAATTATTATAAATTTATTATTATGTCATTATAATTAAATTTGTATTTTTGTTACAAATTGTTATTAATTACTCACATACGTATTTCTAATACGAAAAAGTAAACCAGCAGTAGGACAATAGATTATGTGCAAAATTAAATAAATATCACGCATCAATTATCAAATTATATATTTTCTACTTTTTATACAATCCTTATTATCATAGCATCAAATGTTCATTTGTCACTTATTTTTAAATCACTATAAATACTTTGAACTAGTTATGCAGTTTCCACACCCCAACATCCTAACTATTCTCACAGAAATTCTAACAATTGTAAGGCAGTCAAACTTAATCGCCATCAGACGTCAGTAAGAGGACACTTCTTGAGATGGATAGCATCTGATGTCAAGAAAATGACATAACTTTGAACACAACCTTGATCAAATCATAAACATTTCATATCGTACCAGACATCCGGGCTCGACTCAACTCGCCTCTCCGGTTGGTTGAGCACGACACGTGTACGGGGAGATCCGTTAGGGCGTCGGGCGTGGAGGCGCGCGCTCGTATTGTACATTATTGATCGCAACTACTGCAACAGCAGTCGCCGCTCGCAACCACGGACCGACGACACTCGCGGATGCTGCTGGAGCAGTTACATTTATTCTCACGAGAGGCCCATTTCCGTCTAGTTAGTAACATTTCTTAAAGTCAAATACAACTAATAACCGGTGCGCCTCGGAAATGTGCCTCTGCGTACATTAATACACTACATCTACCATTCTTATACACTACATGCATAGTCCACACGAACACTTTCGCGCGAGTTCATCGATCAACAAATCATGAAGCAGGGACGAGACCGAGCGACAAGGTTCACACTAGACGAGTACAGTTGGAAACCAGAGCGAGGCTACTCAAAATATTTACCTCAGTAGTTACATAATTAACAATACAATTCTGGCAACGATTGTCGCTCGGCACATGACCTGCGTCGCTGAGTCAATAATCATTACTCCTGGGCTCAAGTTCCGGGCGATAATCATTAAAACTACTGGCCGTGCCGAGTATCCCTTAAGACACGAAACACCGATTCTTTGACATACGTTGAATGGCCATCGCCGGGTGTCGCCGGAGTCGCTCATAAGCGCTTGAGGATGCGGCGGCGATCCTTGGCGGGGCGCGCGGCGCCCTCGTTCGCGTTCGCGTTCGCGTTCGCGTTGGTGTGTGCGCTCGCGCTCGCGCCGCTGGGCTCGCCGTCGCCGCGGCCGGACGCGGCGGACGCGCGGCGCTCGCGCTTGGCGCACGGGCCGGCGTCGTGCGCGGGCGCGGCGGGCGCGGCGGGCGGCGCGCGTGGATGTCGGCCAGCAGCTTGGCGCGCGCGAAGTAGTCGTCGTAGCGGTCGCGCAGCAGCGCCGCCGCCTCGGCGTTGAGCGCGGACTCGGCGTTGGGCGCGATGAGCAGGCACTTGACGGCCAGCAGCGCGTGCTCGAGCCCGAGCTCGGGCCGCCAGTCGCGCTTGAGCGTGTTGACGCACACCTCGCCCGTGGCCGCCGCCACGTTCGGGTGGAAGATGCGCGTGAGGAAGTAGGCGCGCGGCGGCGCCGCCGGGAACTCGCGGCCCAGCACCAGCCGCACGCGGAACACGCCGCCCGCGTACGGCGTGTCGGCTGCGGGCACACGACCACGGGCGCCAAGGATTATTTCAATATTCAATACTATGCAGTCTATAAACTATAAATAAATAAATAGAGTGAAAAAATATATTTAATATGTATATTAAGTTACACATCACATGTAGAATAGAAAATTAATCAAACACTAATTAATTATCATTATTATACATTATAACATTATTATACATTATAACGTTATTATACTTCACTAGAGGTAAACTTTGTTCATCTGTATGAGTACCCCTATTGCATAGCTACATTTTGGTTTGAAGATGGGAGTAAAATTACTGAATAAAGAAACAAAACACCTTAATCCTTATGAATGTCAATGCATGAACTGTAACATGGACACTACTGTGTATGCTGAGATGTACATATTGCTGCTCATATTTGTGAATCAACCTCCATGCAGTTTCCCTTGGATCCATGAGCTAGTTAAATTTGTCAGGATGTGTTAACTGATCTGCTTTCATCGTCACTTTATAACATAATATCGCTTTCACTAGTGCCCAGGCAGCGCCTACCAATAATGAAGATATGGTTATTTATTCCATTATTACCCATTTAAAAATCTAAGGATACCACTTTCTATCAAGTAGACCAGTGTTTTTCAAAATGTGGGTCGCGACTCTTTGGGGTTTCCCCAAGCCTCTACAAGGGGGTTGCAGAAGGTAGGGAAGCAGTGAAAAATCAACAGTTCCGTAAACACATCAATCAATCAATCAGTAATACATAATGAAGTATCTATAACAGACATGGATCACAGGTCTGTTTTAGATACTTTATTATGTATTATTTATTTTATTTTATGGATACCTAACTGTGAATATAAAGACAACTTTGTCCTATAATAAAGTTCATATATGTTTGAATCCGTGGAGGGTAGAGGTTTTTTTTTTTTCAGTTTACTTATCAAACCAAATTCATAAGAGTAATAATTTTAGTTGCATACTAAATATGAATATATATAATATTCATATTTAGTATGCAACTTGATTTTTATATAATTATTACAGTACATGCCATCGAAAGACATAAGGAACCCTAATAAACAGTATACAAAATATTGGGTTATTTATGGCTAGAACAAGCAATATCAATAATATTATAGGTATTATGTGTAATTGTTTTTTAATGCCTACCCATATAATTCTATCAATATATTTAGCCTTAATATGGTTCTCTAGCCCTCATTTTCAACTCATTTAAATAAATAATGATTAAGCTAGAGTTCTTTATACAAATTCAATGTATCCAATGTGTTACTGGCAAAACTTTGATAATTTTGATACTCATATACTATGTTATTCAATGCTTTAAACAAACTTTAAAGCATTTAGAAACATTGATAATTGAGTAGCATATTGATCATATTAGTGTAATATTATAAACAATTAACTGGTTTAGTGCTATTAATTTTTTACTCATATCTACTTAAAAATGACAAAGAAATCTTTGTTGTGCTAATGTCAATTACCCTAAATACCAGTCAATTACTCTAACAAAAAATGAATCTCCTCCAAAATTATCCAATTTTTTTAAATTTTTCTACAAACAGCTTAGTAACCATTAATGTCATGAGCGCTATGACGCTCATGGCACTCAAACAGTTAAAGCAGTTTGTAGTCTATGCTCATTGCTCACTACAAACATCTTTATTCGACATTTATGACAATACTTTAGCAGAACAAAATAAAAGAAACAGTAGTGTAAACAAGTCGTTTTAGTGCATACCGGGTCCATCAATATGCGCCACGACGTCGGTGAGGTCGTCTTCCCGCAGTACCAGTTTAACGCCAGCGGGTGGGTTGGCCGCCAGCCGCCGGAGCTCCCGTGCCACGCCGCGCAGTACCTGCGGGCACACGTTCTCCACGTTTGACATCCTGCCGCCACCGCCGCAATCTCTTTGCTAGCGTCGCCTCGATACACTCCTGTTCATGCAGTCGTCGGATCCACCGACGAATACTTCTGCAGCATCACTCCTAAAACCACCGCTCAGTATAAATACACAATTTCCCGCATTTAACTAACCAGTGTATAAACCTATCTACACTACCAAAACAGACGCCGGCTAAAGATATATACTAGTAATTCTAGTGTTTTTTTTTTTTACAATTTATTCCAATCCACTATAACGAATTAGATCAAAATTTTATCTAGAATTTATTATATTTAGAATAGAACCCAACGCTGTGCAACGAATTAATTTACATTTTTGACAATTACATTACATTTTGAACTGACACTGACAATTGACTTGACATTACTTTGTAGAGCACTGAAAGAACACGACTAAGAACAAGGAACATGATCAGTAGGCCTACCTGAATCTAATATCGATATCATTCCAGTCTAATGCTAGTAACATTTTGTACTGCACTTATGAAATAACAATTAAGTAAGTTACAATTGGAATCGGTTTGCAGTTCAACAGTATGAAACGTTCAATTCCAATATCGATCAACAGATCGTTTTAGTATATATGTATCATATTTCAAAAGTAACCCCACTGTCTGTCTTTCACATTTTAATTTCTTCGTTTTGTTAGACAAATTGTCAATTTTTTTTTCGCTTTTAAAAGTTATTTAAAAGTCGTCAGTAATTGATTATTTATAGTAAAATGTACGTATCCGTATTTATCAGTGATGCGCGACTTTACTTATCTGAGTACTAATTAGAAGACAGAGCAGATCATTGATTGATTGAATTATTTTCAAATCATTCGATGACTAATGTTAGTCATCTAATTTCATCCAATTAGTGTCATTCAATTATCATTTATTTTAAAGGCCGTTCATTTTTTAAATCTTAGAGAATATTAGTGCAGTACTTTCACACGTTACAAAATACCAACGTGCCCGTTTCACTATTAATTATATTAAATGTATGTATGCTCCCGAACTTTAACACTTATTAATCTGTCTTGAAATAATATCACTCCATGCGCAATGATATTAGCACACGCACACATTTAATAATATTAATACTAAGTACAATTTATTACATGTGTACTAAACTTAAATAAATAAATAAATTATTATTCTTTTTTTTAATTACTAATAATTGTTAAATAAAATTGAAGTTTAGAGCTTCAATTTACAATTATATACAGAAACGATTCGATTTACTTAACATGTAACAACTGAATGAGCATGGTCAGCACTGCTCCATACTCACATTTCAGACCACAGTTTGAAACTATGCACACAAATGTAATCACTCTATCCCTAATTACTATTCCGAAATCTTTGCATTATCGTCTCCTTTTTGTGATTGCATTGCTAGTTTGTTAATACGTATTACATTATACTAAATCTATGCTTTAGACAGTATCTTTAATCTGTGGTCACTGCGGTTCTGTCATTTGTGTTTTGATTTGTATCTAGAAATGAATTCTAATGAATTTGTCGCCGGCTGAATTTAAGTACTTAAATGAGTTATCAATTTAATACTCAAGTAAGTTTATAGTATTAAATCTAAATACTTACCATAAAATGAAACGAATGTTAAATATTGGGTCTGTGTGGCAGTCTTGCTGATTTTGTAATTTAATTATTTTGTTTGCCTTTATAAATATAACCTGTGCAAACTGGTGGCATGATTAGAATATTCATTTGAAACCAAGCATTACCTTAATCAATCAATCAATCATCTTTATTCATATACATCTTCTGTTACAAATTCTTATGATACGTCAATTTATCACTATAATAATTACTATATAAAATAATATTAATTTAAAAAAAATACAATTATTACATTTACAATACAATTCACATTAATACTATATTCAAATCCATGCAGTTTTGTCATTTAGATAGTCATTTATTTTATAATATGCTTTTGTACAGAGAGCTCTTTTTTTTCATTTATTTTATATATATATATATCTCTTAAAATTTCTTTCATTTAAATGTAAAACGTCTTCTGAAAGTTTATTATAAAAACGTATACAATTCCCCATGAAACATGTACTGACTTTTCTAAGGCTAATATTCTCTAAGAGATTCACAAGAAGGCAAATTAAATATTGACCCAACTGCTCTTTTTTGCAGTACAAAGATTGTATCGATGTCAGCGGCCCTCCTCCATAATATAATGCCTTATGACATGATACTGTGAAAGTAACTAAAATACACAAGCTTGGCTGTTATTGTATCAGTTAATTGTCGGATTTTTCTAACAGCATAAGCAGCTGAACTCAGCCTGCTGGCCAAATAATAATAATAATGTAACAAGAACCCATATATTGATGCATGTGATGCCTGTGATAGATTTGAATAAAAAGTGTATTGAAGGAAATGGAGACACTAGTTCTAGAGAGAAGTCTATATCGCTGGTTAATTGATAAGAATTATTTAATTTCTGCTTCCATTTGTATATGCGTGACTATCACTACTACTACACTTGAAGACTGACCACTACTATTATTGCCAAAAGTCCTACATCCTTCTATGTTAGCCATCAATCTTCAACTGTATTTTGTTCATGCATCTCTCAAAAAAGGGGTATTATTATTTATAATATTCAATATATAATATGATATGTGGGGTACTTACTATGTAATACTAACTTTACATGTATATGATATATTCTTTAGCAATATAAAGGTTGTAAGCCTCTTGATAATAAATAGAAACAAAGTACAATTACTCACAGTTCTCTTAATTTAGATATCATACTATTAAATCATATATTTACAATTTTGCTTTGTATATGACATATAACATAAATACCCAAATTCTGTTAATCCATTCGCACTTATTTAACTATAGCTTCTTTAGGACTTTGTTCAACAATAATTGTGGTATATTTTATATAATGACCATGTGGTTCACTATACTTGTTCACTCTTAATACAGCAGGGAGCTCCAACTGTTCAACGGTTGGACAAGAAATGCCTCCATGGGGAGGCACTTCTTGTCCAACCCTGTTCAGCCCTGTAGATATAAAAGATTGTTATTTAGATGGCTAAATAACAATCTTTTATATCTACAGGGCTGAATTTGAGTGAACACGTCAGCGAGACCATGTGTTCTTACAATTTATTACTTTTTATTCAAGTATCATGATAATAAATAATTATAAAATTCATTAAAATATAAATTAGTGTTCTATATACATTACAAGAATAATTTATTACCAAATTTGGTATAATAACAATTTTAACGTTTTATTATATTTAAAGTAGTTAGTTTGATTTTTATTAATATCGTCATAGTTGTAGAAGGCTGATGGATCTTTATATGTAATATTCGTCAGATTCTTCTGTATTCTACGACTACGACAATATATGTTGGTACACATTTTAACACAAGATGTTTAAGAAAATTAATATAATTTAAAATAAATATCTAACACATGCAACTGCAAATTTGCAGTTAAGGCACCAAACATTTAACACTAGGCTCCAAGCAGCGATCTAATAATTTTCCTTGTTTAAAGGCGAAAGACATGTCAATCTTTGAGTTTTGACCGTCTCACAAATACTAATGGTAGCAGAATTAAACAAAATAATTCTAATCAAATATTCAGTGAAATTCTCTAGTTATTGGGTATGATGTTATTCAGAAGGTGCTGTTGGAGACTCTATCTTTTGGTAGTTGGTTTTTTTTTTATGGCCTTTTTATACCCTGTCTATACTAACGATATACGCTGATAGGCAGTTTAAATAGGCCATCATGATAAATACATGTACAATTCAGCATGATGGTTTACAGTAAAGACCACATGAAGGTTGACCTGACATACTGGTATATACTAATAATGATGATCCATTATGAAGAATTGCATTGGAAATAATCACGTTGGTTTCCAAGGGGAACTATGTAGACGTGATAGGGTATAGGGATAGACCAGGGTGGTCTATCTCTATACCTGGCTGGTGGGTGTATTGCTACTAATGGGGCATGCCATTAGTAACAATACTAACAATACCTTTTCCCCCCAATAACTTATGCTTTTGTCTACATATCTTCACAAAAAACTTTTTTTTTTTTATTCTTCATATTAGTTGATGATGCCCTGTCTGGTCGATGCTTGGTTCTGTAGAATTGGCTCACTGATTTATATTTGTAAAACATCATTTCTCAGTAATCTCTTTATGGACTCTCGCGATGTATCGCGGTGCCGTGTGTCGCAGGCGCGGCCGGGCGCGGGCGAGGGGTGCCGCGTGCGGCTGGACCTGCGGCTGGTGTTCAGCGACCGGCGCGCGCGCGTGGTGGTGTGGGCGGCGGCGCGGCGGCGCGCGCGCTGGCTGCTGGCGCGCGCGCGCCGCCTGGGGCTGCGCGGCCCCGCCTGCCTGCTGCGGCGCGGGCACCTGCTGCCGCCGCACGAGCCGCTCGCGCTGCTCGACCGCGACGACGTCGTGCAGTCAGTGCCGCCCTCTCTATCTCTCACTCCATTCCGATATACTTAGATGCCAATGTGTAGCATTGCGCGTCTTCATTAAAATCCAGTCATTTAATTGGACACTGGCGACCCACCTGGATATATCCTACTCATGTAATAAAAAAAAATATTCAAATCTGTTTAGTAGTTTTGCATGAAAGAGTAACGAACACCCATCAATATGAAAGGATGAATTTTTATAGTTACTCGCATTTATAAATAATATACTCATTTATTTATTTTATAATTTCAGAGTTATCCCTTTATCAAAGGAGCTGCCGATAGAATATGACAGCGAGGAGGAAAGTGATGTAGAAACTTCCAGATATTTAATTAATTCAACTACTAAGAAAGATAAACAAAAGCGACATCATTATGATTATGAGAATTTGGGAGATTCAGTGGACAAAGATACGAGAAATGACAAACAATGGTGTGACAGTGTTTATAACGAAAGTTCAAGTAAACCAATAAATAAAAGAAAAAGAAAAATGACGCAAAACGGTAATGATAACGAAAATTTATGTACTCCGAATGACGATATAACAAATGAGCGATCTCACGATAACGGTGAGCACAGAAAATCTGCGAGGACGACTAAAAGAAAAAGACGCCAACACGACGATATCGTTCATCCAGAGAGCATTTCTCCTAACTTAACAAAAACTCAACGTCACAGTGATGATAATAATATATTTTCCGGCGACGTCACTAACTCTACTAAAACGATACATTATGACTACAGTGATCGAGGGCACAGAGATTCTAGCGATCCCGCGAGGGACATCGTAGAAAAGCGTCGTCAACATAATCACGGTAATGGAAATCCTACCACCGAGAACGAATCAAGATGGCAGCACGTCGACGAGTACACAGGTAAAAATGTGAGCGAACCCGTCGAAGATGACCACAGCGATGGACTACAGAACAACGGCTGGGAAAACAATAAAAATATAGTAGCAGATTCAGAACCTGACGATTTCGTTTTAGCTTCGAGTGGAAATCGCGCCTCGGCCACCCAAAATGTAACGACCGACGGTTCCCTGCAGACACTGGACGAGATGAAGCGACACGCATTAAAATTGTTGGACTCGTACGAGGGCGACCCGCCAGCGCCGCCAGCGCCGGCGGCTCCGACGGGCCGGCGAAGACGCGTGCGCCGCCGGCGCCGCGCCGCGCCGCTGCCGCCGCCACCGCCGCCACCGCCGCCACCGCCGCCACCGCCGCCACCGCCACTCGCCCCCAGCGCGGCACACAGCACACGTTCCGAGGACGCCGCCGCCGCTCCGGCGATATCCGCCACCGCCGCGGCCGCCGACAGTGATTCCGACGACGGCGCGCCTGCTCCAGCCGCGGGCTCCGTGGCCCACACCGCTGATGCCGATGCCGCAGTCGTTCCGGTAGTTCGAAACCGCACTGAGTATATCCGCGCACCGCGTATTGTGAGATCGCTTTCGCCGCCGTCTCGGGCATTTATATCACCCATTTCATTGTTAGAAAATACACAATAATACGAATTAATTTATTTATTGTAAAAGGTGATCTAAATAAAGTATAATCGTAAATTATAATTTTATTTATAACAAATAACAATATTATTGTGTATCGTATGCCCTCCCGCCATTGTGGTCCCGCCATAGTATAGGCCATCCCTTCCTTTCTCAAGAGTGTCGTAAGAGACGTCTAAGGGAAGTAATGATCAAGGACAGGTGCAGCATCCGTCTTAATACATAACCAAAAGATCAACTGTGGCACAGATAATATAATACTATACGGTTTAAGACATTTATTTCTCTAAAGATTTACATAAATCACTCAAATGAGAACATGCACTTAATATGTACTGTTAGCGAGCGTAGTTAGAATATTGTTATCACACATAAACTGCAGTCAGATTACTTACTTACTACTAGTACTAGTACCTTCAAAATGTAGTGTTTCAATACTTGTTTCCTCTTTCCAAAACAATACCGCTTTCGGCCAAAATCGAATATATTCTGCTACAGTCTATATAAATGACATGAAAGACATTGGACTCCAAGGTCTCTAACTAACTAACTCTAACACTATATGCCGATGATACTTATTTGTTTTACTTTGAACTTTATTTATTTGTTTAAATTGAACTTGAACAATATTATAGATAAAGCACAGAACGACTATTAGTAATCTTCTAACTATCAATACGTCTAAAACGCACTACATGATATTCGTCCCAAAGAATAAAAAATTTGAAAATCATCCATTACATATAATCAACAATACTAAAAAAAAAAAAAAAAAAAAAAAAAAAAAATAGAAAATAGAACATAGTGTTACAGAAGTCCGCTAGGCCAGGCCAGCCAGGCCAGGCCAGGCCAGGCCAGGCCAGGCCAGGCCAGGCCAGCCCAGGCCAGGCCAGGCCAGGCCAGGCCAGGCCAGGCCAGGCCAGGCCAGGCCAGGCCAGGCCAGGCCAGGCCAGGCCAGGCCAGGCCAGGCCAGGCCAGGCCAGGCCAGGCCAGGCCAGGCCAGGCCAGGGCCAGGCCAGGCCAGGGCCAGGCCAGGCCAGGCCAGGCCAGGCCAGGCCAGGCCAGGCCAGGCCAGGCCAGGCCAGGCCAGGCCAGGCCAGGCCAGGCCAGGCCAGGCCAGGCCAGGCCAGGCCAGGCCAGGCCAGGCCAGGCCAGGCCAGGCCAGGCCAGGCCAGGCCAGGCCAGGCCAGGCCAGGCCAGGCCAGGCCAGGCCAGGCCAGGCCAGGCCAGGCCAGGCCAGGCCAGGCCAGGCCAGGCCAGGCCAGGCCAGGCCAGGCCAGGCCAGGCCAGGCCAGGCCAGGCCAGGCCAGGCCAGGCCAGGCCAGGCCAGGCCAGGCCAGGCCAGGCCAGGCCAGGCCAGGCCAGGCCAGGCCAGGCCAGGCCAGGCCAGGCCAGGCCAGGCCAGGCCAGGCCAGGCCAGGCCAGGCCAGGCCAGGCCAGGCCAGGCCAGGCCAGGCCAGGCCAGGCCAGGCCAGGCCAGGCCAGGCCAGGCCAGGCCAGGCCAGGCCAGGCCAGGCCAGGCCAGGCCAGGCCAGGCCAGGCCAGGCCAGGCCAGGCCAGGCCAGGCCAGGCCAGGCCAGGCCAGGCCAGGCCAGGCCAGGCCAGGCCAGGCCAGGCCAGGCCAGGCCAGGCCAGGCCAGGCCAGGCCAGGCCAGGCCAGGCCAGGCCAGGCCAGGCCAGGCCAGGCCAGGCCAGGCCAGGCCAGGCCAGGCCAGGCCAGGCCAGGCCAGGCCAGGCCAGGCCAGGCCAGGCCAGGCCAGGCCAGGCCAGGCCAGGCCAGGCCAGGCCAGGCCAGGCCAGGCCAGGCCAGGCCAGGCCAGGCCAGGCCAGGCCAGGCCAGGCCAGGCCAGGCCAGGCCAGGCCAGGCCAGGCCAGGCCAGGCCAGGCCAGGCCAGGCCAGGCCAGGCCAGGCCAGGCCAGGCCAGGCCAGGCCAGGCCAGGCCAGGCCAGGCCAGGCCAGGCCAGGCCAGGCCAGGCCAGGCCAGGCCAGGCCAGGCCAGGCCAGGCCAGGCCAGGCCAGGCCAGGCCAGGCCAGGCCAGGCCAGGCCAGGCCAGGCCAGGCCAGGCCAGGCCAGGCCAGGCCAGGCCAGGCCAGGCCAGGCCAGGCCAGGCCAGGCCAGGCCAGGCCAGGCCAGGCCAGGCCAGGCCAGGCCAGGCCAGGCCAGGCCAGGCCAGGCCAGGCCAGGCCAGGCCAGGCCAGGCCAGGCCAGGCCAGGCCAGGCCAGGCCAGGCCAGGCCAGGCCAGGCCAGGCCAGGCCAGGCCAGGCCAGGCCAGGCCAGGCCAGGCCAGGCCAGGCCAGGCCAGGCCAGGCCAGGCCAGGCCAGGCCAGGCCAGGCCAGGCCAGGCCAGGCCAGGCCAGGCCAGGCCAGGCCAGGCCAGGCCAGGCCAGGCCAGGCCAGGCCAGGCCAGGCCAGGCCAGGCCAGGCCAGGCCAGGCCAGGCCAGGCCAGGCCAGGCCAGGCCAGGCCAGGCCAGGCCAGGCCAGGCCAGGCCAGGCCAGGCCAGGCCAGGCCAGGCCAGGCCAGGCCAGGCCAGGCCAGGCCAGGCCAGGCCAGGCCAGGCCAGGCCAGGCCAGGCCAGGCCAGGCCAGGCCAGGCCAGGCCAGGCCAGGCCAGGCCAGGCCAGGCCAGGCCAGGCCAGGCCAGGCCAGGCCAGGCCAGGCCAGGCCAGGCCAGGCCAGGCCAGGCCAGGCCAGGCCAGGCCAGGCCAGGCCAGGCCAGGCCAGGCCAGGCCAGGCCAGGCCAGGCCAGGCCAGGCCAGGCCAGGCCAGGCCAGGCCAGGCCAGGCCAGGCCAGGCCAGGCCAGGCCAGGCCAGGCCAGGCCAGGCCAGGCCAGGCCAGGCCAGGCCAGGCCAGGCCAGGCCAGGCCAGGCCAGGCCAGGCCAGGCCAGGCCAGGCCAGGCCAGGCCAGGCCAGGCCAGGCCAGGCCAGGCCAGGCCAGGCCAGGCCAGGCCAGGCCAGGCCAGGCCAGGCCAGGCCAGGCCAGGCCAGGCCAGGCCAGGCCAGGCCAGGCCAGGCCAGGCCAGGCCAGGCCAGGCCAGGCCAGGCCAGGCCAGGCCAGGCCAGGCCAGGCCAGGCCAGGCCAGGCCAGGCCAGGCCAGGCCAGGCCAGGCCAGGCCAGGGCCAGGCCAGGCGCCAGGCCAGGCCAGGCCAGGCCAGGCCAGGCCAGGCCAGGCCAGGCCAGGCCAGGCCAGGCCAGGCCAGGCCAGGCCAGGCCAGGCCAGGCCAGGCCAGGCCAGGCCAGGCCAGGCCAGGCCAGGCCAGGCCAGGCCAGGCCAGGCCAGGCCAGGCCAGGCCAGGCCAGGCCAGGCCAGGCCAGGCCAGGCCAGGCCAGGCCAGGCCAGGCCAGGCCAGGCCAGGCCAGGCCAGGCCAGGCCAGGCCAGGCCAGGCCAGGCCAGGCCAGGCCAGGCCAGGCCAGGCCAGGCCAGGCCAGGCCAGGCCAGGCCAGGCCAGGCCAGGCCAGGCCAGGCCAGGCCAGGCCAGGCCAGGCCAGGCCAGGCCAGGCCAGGCCAGGCCAGGCCAGGCCAGGCCAGGCCAGGCCAGGCCAGGCCAGGCCAGGCCAGGCCAGGCCAGGCCAGGCCAGGCCAGGCCAGGCCAGGCCAGGCCAGGCCAGGCCAGGCCAGGCCAGGCCAGGCCAGGCCAGGCCAGGCCAGGCCAGGCCAGGCCAGGCCAGGCCAGGCCAGGCCAGGCCAGGCCAGGCCAGGCCAGGCCAGGCCAGGCCAGGCCAGGCCAGGCCAGGCCAGGCCAGGCCAGGCCAGGCCAGGCCAGGCCAGGCCAGGCCAGGCCAGGCCAGGCCAGGCCAGGCCAGGCCAGGCCAGGCCAGGCCAGGCCAGGCCAGGCCAGGCCAGGCCAGGCCAGGCCAGGCCAGGCCAGGCCAGGCCAGGCCAGGCCAGGCCAGGCCAGGCCAGGCCAGGCCAGGCCAGGCCAGGCCAGGCCAGGCCAGGCCAGGCCAGGCCAGGCCAGGCCAGGCCAGGCCAGGCCAGGCCAGGCCAGGCCAGGCCAGGCCAGGCCAGGCCAGGCCAGGCCAGGCCAGGCCAGGCCAGGCCAGGCCAGGCCAGGCCAGGCCAGGCCAGGCCAGGCCAGGCCAGGCCAGGCCAGGCCAGGCCAGGCCAGGCCAGGCCAGGCCAGGCCAGGCCAGGCCAGGCCAGGCCAGGCCAGGCCAGGCCAGGCCAGGCCAGGCCAGGCCAGGCCAGGCCAGGCCAGGCCAGGCCAGGCCAGGCCAGGCCAGGCCAGGCCAGGCCAGGCCAGGCCAGGCCAGGCCAGGCCAGGCCAGGCCAGGCCAGGCCAGGCCAGGCCAGGCCAGGCCAGGCCAGGCCAGGCCAGGCCAGGCCAGGCCAGGCCAGGCCAGGCCAGGCCAGGCCAGGCCAGGCCAGGCCAGGCCAGGCCAGGCCAGGCCAGGCCAGGCCAGGCCAGGCCAGGCCAGGCCAGGCCAGGCCAGGCCAGGCCAGGCCAGGCCAGGCCAGGCCAGGCCAGGCCAGGCCAGGCCAGGCCAGGCCAGGCCAGGCCAGGCCAGGCCAGGCCAGGCCAGGCCAGGCCAGGCCAGGCCAGGCCAGGCCAGGCCAGGCCAGGCCAGGCCAGGCCAGGCCAGGCCAGGCCAGGCCAGGCCAGGCCAGGCCAGGCCAGGCCAGGCCAGGCCAGGCCAGGCCAGGCCAGGCCAGGCCAGGCCAGGCCAGGCCAGGCCAGGCCAGGCCAGGCCAGGCCAGGCCAGGCCAGGCCAGGCCAGGCCAGGCCAGGCCAGGCCAGGCCAGGCCAGGCCAGGCCAGGCCAGGCCAGGCCAGGCCAGGCCAGGCCAGGCCAGGCCAGGCCAGGCCAGGCCAGGCCAGGCCAGGCCAGGCCAGGCCAGGCCAGGCCAGGCCAGGCCAGGCCAGGCCAGGCCAGGCCAGGCCAGGCCAGGCCAGGCCAGGCCAGGCCAGGCCAGGCCAGGCCAGGCCAGGCCAGGCCAGGCCAGGCCAGGCCAGGCCAGGCCAGGCCAGGCCAGGCCAGGCCAGGCCAGGCCAGGCCAGGCCAGGCCAGGCCAGGCCAGGCCAGGCCAGGCCAGGCCAGGCCAGGCCAGGCCA